TATACATGTAAACTAATACGTACATAGATTACTCAGTTCATTTTCATTACAGTTCATTTGAGGTTACATTCTTTTTTTTGGATTGTTACATTGTATGATTTTCAATTCTTCATTTTGCAATAATTTGAAATCTTTGATACAATCCAAACCAATTAGAAAATCGTACTTAAAATTTTCATTATCTACCACAAAAACATCCATAATTCTTTCCATATTGTAGATTTTTATTTTTAATGTTACCATACCTTTTGTTTTCTTCTCACCATTGATAGTTTTCAAATTTACCATTTGTATATTACTTGTAATTTCTTTTGGTTGTATCTTCAATAATTTTGCATTAATTAATGACACATTTGAACCTGAATCATAAATTCCAGAAACTTTTAAAGTATCATTTAATAGTAATTTTACTTGTATTAAGGGTGGAACTTCTCGTTCAGTTCAATTTCCAGTTCCGAGTTATTTACAATTTTGACAACTGCTTTTTGATTTTTCCCTTTAAACCAGCAATTGTCTTCAAGATGGTAACGTTTTCCTTTTTTTTCGTTGACACAAATTTGGCATGGTTTTTTTTCTTCAATTTTTTTGGATTTAGTGCCAGAATATATAATACTTTTTTTATCGTATTTATTCTTCCCGGCAAGATGTTCCAATTTTCCTATTTCATTGTAGAGATCTTCCGTTCCTTGTAAAGTTTCTCTGTCAACTTTATCAGCCACATAATTAGGTAAGCCAAATGCTATAAGGTCTATAAGTGTCCCAATATCAATTGATTTTCTTACTTCCAGTAACAATTTTTCTTTTTTTTAGCATACTCAAGTAACGAACCTGCTTGATATTTAAAGGCAAGAGCATATCTGATGGGTGACCATCCTTTGTTTGCAAACGTCTCACAAAAATTTTTCTCCCATCTGTTCCATTCCGATTCCATTGTAAGTTTCATTAGCAGTTGTACCAATCTACACTGGAATATCCCAAAAAGTTTTTTAAAATTTCAATTTTCTTTTTGTCTTCGTTGATTTGGAAACGTTCACATTCTTTATTAAAATCTTTAATCCACTCGTAAGCATTTGAGTTTCTGCCAGTGAATTTCTCAATCATGAAATCCTTTGCAATTTTCCCTAAATTTTGAGATTCAGATTTTGTTTGTTTATCTTCAAGCAATTTTTCCAACAGTTTTTCCAACGTTTGATTTGAGCCACTAGGTATAGATTCAGCACTATTTGTTTCTTCCAAAATTTCTTCTAGATAAAAATCATTAAACTGTAAGTTTTGTTCTCCATCCAAATATACTTTTGATATATCATCTGTCAAGGTTATCCATATTTTTCTTGTTTGATGTCTTTTATTTAATGATTTTCTGATCTTGGCATAGTTGGGAGTATTTGTAATTTCTTGGTGTAGATTTGCAGGTTGGTCTTCGGCTGGTATTCCAAAAATCTGTCCATCAGGTGTAGCTATTGAGGTTATGCGTATGATGTTGGATTTTCATCTGAAGTCGGTTTCACAGCAAAATCAAACCTCAATTTTTCCATGTTTCGTGAAATATTTGCAGAAAATGTTGTTTTATAATGGGGTTTCACTCTTGGTTAATTGGGAATAATGAAACAAAGACGTAATTGCGTTTCTCTGTAAAACGAAAGAAACATTTATGTACAAT